AAATATTCAAATGCTTATTTTGTGTTGTGAATACCAGATAACCATTTACAGTGAAATGCGACCTCTTTCAAAAAGTTTAAATTCATTGCCAAGAATGTTCTAGGAACAGTTATAAAACTCAAAAGGAATATTGGTGCTATACTGAATCACAAAAATGCCATCTTATGAAAGCTTCTTTGCAGGGATTTTCTTCAAATTGGTCTAAGTGGTGGAAAAGAAATACTGAGATGCCAGCCATGGGCTGTGCTCTTCCAGACTTTACTCTCTTTGAGTAGTACTTGAATAGTACTTCTCCCCCTCCTCTCTCTCTTTTTTTTTTTTAACAGACTACTTGAGTATCTGTTTACATTACACTTTTGCTGTATTAATGCCATGCTTCAGAATTGCTACTTACCCTTAAGATCCAGGAATAAACTTCCCTTCCCCTTCCCATTCCCCCTCCTTGTTTCCCTCTCTACCTTCTTCTGAAGCACAAGTGTCTTCACAAGGTGTATAATGGAGCTGTCTTTGGCAACAAAGTCTTTTAAGCACCTGATCAGTGTATCTTGCTTCCTGTATCTACATTTGAGGTCAAGTCCTCTGTCCCCTCGGAACAGGCAGAGATAAATGTTTTGGTGTCCTCTTCATGGTTTGAATGTTTCCCGTAGTACCTCTGGAAGCTCTTTAAAACCTCAGCTATTGTAAGGACTTAGGAAGCTGTTGATCTCTATTCCCTCCTGCTCTTATGCAAGGGCTCACATATTACCGATTTTGATCGTTTGATGTGGGACAGTGGATTCCTAGCCAAGTAGAATGCTAGGAAAAACAGCTTTTGGAATATTATATATTAGCAGAAGAGACATTACATAGACCTTCCTGAGTTAGGAATTAATTCCATTGCTGGTTGTGATTGTGGGAAAATAAGCTTCTGTGACCAAGCCCATGTTCTTTATATTTCCAGTGAACAGCTACATTGATTCCCTGGCATTGCAGAGCTGCTGATATATTGAATGGTTAAACTGAAATCAACAGGACTGCTGAGTATTCTTTATTACCAATGAGTATAAAATTGATAAGTAATGAGTATAAAAGCTGAAAGCAAACACTAATGGTAAAATCAGTCCCACAACAAATTTAAATAGTATCAAACATCATCCATCCGTTGTACCACTTGCCATCAGAAAACACAAAAACCAGTTTAATGTCTGTCCATTAACTTCTTGCTATTTTACTAGAGTTTCTCTATTGACTGAAGTAAAAATCCAGTCTGACAATGTCTCCTCACAGAACTCTCACACCCTTCAATGATGACTGTATAGGTACAAGAATTGCCATATTAGACTCTATTGTGATAAAATTTCATTCAAACCAACACTTTTCCATCTTCTTTTGCAGCACCAAGTTCTAATAAACCTTACAATATATTATGAGGTGGTAGTGAGATAATGGTATTAGAAAATCTTATTTGACTGATTCTTTGTATAAATGAAAGTAGTTTAACATTTCTCGTGGTATTTATAGTGGTTTTCCAAGCCTCATTTTCTTGCCGGCTGTTCTGATTGATACTGAAGTGGGTTGAGAAGAGTCACCTCGAAAGACAGGGAAAGATTTGACACATTTCTATTGTAACAGTCCTACCAGTGCATTTAGGATAGTTGAGCCACCGTGTGTTGGTATAATGGATTGATCAGTTTGATTCTTTTGATACGGGTAAATCACTTTGATGCAGGTTAATTCAGGCTGTGTTTACAGAGGTTACTCTGATCCCTTTTTCAGGCTACTGTATGTGTTTTCAAAGAAAAATACCCAAAACCTTTAGAGAATGAAAACCCATTCCTCCCTATTTACAGAATGGTATTTTTTTCTTTCAAACTGGAAACCTGCAATATAAGTCTTCGGTTTTCATCATAATCCTTTATGAGTTTTAAATCTACTTTTTAAGTTGGCAATTTTAAATGGCTCCTGGTGAGTAGAGCCCTGGTGAGCTTCAAAACCACACACAGTTTCAATGAAGCTGTGTGAACCTGCTTCAGAATCTCTGCAAGTTTTCCAAGCTTTTATGCTCTCGTATGGTTTACAGACAAAAACCTACAGGGGTCCCATTTAAAGCCTCCTAGCAGCTAAAAGATAGAGAAAAAATGGCTTTTAAAAAACCTGAAGTACCCTCTTATGAGTGCATTAAAAGCAATTTTGTTTGCTTTCCACTTTCAAAATGCTTCAAGCTGCCAAAGACGCGATGTTAGAAAATGACTCATGAGTACTAGAGAGAAATAGTCTTTGAAAGTTTGTTCATAGTAAAGGATGATGGCTAGGCAAGTGGAGTTTCTATATTCAGAAGGAAGTATCTTGTGTCCTCATATTGCAGGCTTTTTTTTTTCTTTCTCAATAATCTGTTCTTCAGATGTTCTTCACCTTTATCTTACAGGTTTTCAGCAATTGTGTGAAAATCAGCTCAGAACTTCAATTTATTTGTTCCTGTGATGCTACCGATCAATGTTTGGAGACCAGGACCTACCTACATGGAGAGGGAAGGGAATGCCAAAGCAATGAAGGCTCGTAATTTAACTGACCTGTCAGGTAAATCAGGGTGTGTCACCCTGTTGATTGTCTAACAGTCTGTACTGTAGGGTTTAGGAGATGTTAGTATTGAGTTATATTTCTTTTAAATTTTCATTGCAGTGTTTGCTATTGGAGTGATTTCTTGATTTTCTCTATGGGAAACACTAGGTGCAAAGGCAATGTATTAAAATATCCTTCTCACATTTAAAATGTCCTCCTCACTTTGATATTGCTACAGCTCCTCACAGTTTTCTGTCTCTTGCTCTTCCAGTGTGAATAAAGACAGTGTAGAGTAAGTAGACTTTCTAAAATTCAAGAATGTTTGGACCTTGTGTTCTGTTCTAAGCCTCTCTTGAACAAACATGCTTTCCTTTCTAAATTGTATTATCGAGTCTTAGGGAAAGAAAGTGTTAGGAAAGGTTCATTTAATGGAATCTAGAGATGACAAAACAAATTTTAATGAACTGTTTAGGTTCATTTTCTAATGATTTAAACAGATGTTACTTTTAAGAATCTCTCACAAACCCATGCCTTTTGAGGGCTTACCTTGTGTACTTTATGCTTTCTTCTATGGAGTAAACCAGAATTGTGCATTAGTATCAGAGGGGCGTTTCCCAAGTATGGTGCAAGCTCAGTTTTATTGCAAGTAGAAGTTTTAGAGGTGTAGATTATGTCAATATATACATGATCATCTCAGAATAATTCTACAATATAGTTAAAATCCTATTTTTGTTCTTTGGTAGTCGATTGTACTGGCAATTAAAAAAATGTCTGTCTTGTAAATGTAGCATATTTGATATGAAAAACCGTGGAGGAAAAGGACTAACAACATTAACTTTTAACGGTTTTAGTTTAAATTTTAAAACTACACATCCACCAGCCATCCCTTAGCTTTTTCCCTAGAGAGTCAAAAAGAAGAAGGGAAAATTTTGATGGACTTGGATTTTGACAGTAGCTGAAAATGGAATAAATATTACAAGAATTAAAGAACTACGAGAATTAATTGGAAATACAGAAGTGGTAGTAAAAAGTGTCTGAACTGTATTGTCCTTGTGACAAAACAGAAAGCAAGATGTGTGTGAACAGGATGTGAACGTAACCTAAGATCATGAGATAAAGATTCTTAACTAGTTTTTATTTGTGAAAACATGACCATGAGCCTAAAAGTTGTGTCTAAAAATAATGCTGAATTGCAGACTAGCAACCTGTTATGTAGTTGAATACTAATTGAAGAGGTTTGGTGTTTTTAGAACTCAAGTAAATTAAATGATGGAATGAAATTTTCAAAGCACTTGCATGCCTAGAACAACAGTTGGTGCTTAATCTCACCATTTAGTTGCATAAACCATTTAATGCGGGTGAATTTTGTGATTCCCCAAAACTTACTTGCTGCCCCTTCACACCTGCATAGCTTTTCCTGGGGTCAGTCAATATGTGTTAAGTAGCTTGTGTATGTTAGGCAGTTATTTCAAAGCCTCTTGCATATGCTGCTTATTTCTTGCATAGTCTCTATAGTTTCTGTGTACCCCTTTCCCTTGTGATCATCCCCAGAGTCCTCAGAGGAATTACTACCATAGCTCCAGGCATCTCTCTATGGCCTATAGAAACTAGTCTGTTAGGATTTTTGGTACTGCTGTAAACAAGAAAAGATGTTGGAGTTTAAAAAAAATTCCCACCATCTCCAAATCAAACAAACATAACTTCCCCCCGGAAGAATTGAGGCTTCCCAGAACTGCCGTAACAATACAGGATTATTCAAAAAAAGAATAATCACTAGCATTTGTGCAGGAGTGTTGTTTGTGGATTAAGTAGAAGATGTTAGCTCTAGCTACACAGATGAATAATTTTTCTTGGTTCTAGCAATGTATAGAAAATAAACTGCCATTTAGAAGACAAAACTGTAGTTTAATGAAGTCAGGGGCAGGAGTTACAGTCTGATCTTGCTATGATGCAGAAGAGGTAACTGCCCCTCAGCTGCTTGTCACCATCTTTTCAGCTGGTGATTATCATCGTCTCAGATTTGTTCATTGTGCGTGTTGTCATTTTCTTACATGTCTGCCAAAATGAGTTAGGTTAAAAAGATTTTTTTTTTTTTAAGTTAACTTGGTTCACTTTGAAGGCAACAGATTGTGCAACATTTGTAATAAGAGCCCCTCCAGCAGATAATCTCAAGCAGAAGGGTGATGACAGGTGGCTGGAGGTTGTAACCTCTTCTGAGCTGGAGGAGTTTCTTAAGACAAATTAGTTATTCCAAAACTTGGGTGGAAGCAAGCATATCTGCTGCAGGGGCGGGGGTCTTGTAGGCAACCCCTCACCCTGCAAAGCTGCTTCTGGCACTTCCACAGCCAAGAGCCACCCATGCTGCTGATCTGCTCCCTTCTATAGGCATGTGACTTAGAGCAGGGTGTCAGTATTTAGAGCTGTTCGAGTCAGAAAGACACGCTGGAGTGGAAAGCAGGCCAGCTTGCCACAGTGATGCTGAGTATGAGGATGCCTTTGACTGAAGACCAGCCCACCTACAGGTGCCATTTTTCTGAACTTGATAAAATTGGGCTGAAATCCAGGTGCTCTTACCCCATACTGCAACAAAAGGGGGGGACAGCTGCTGCAGGAGCAACAGCAGAGACTGGGGGGGGGGGATCCGTTAATGCCCTGGAGTGCACTGCAGTTCTTGAAAACCTGCTTTCTCAGTAATCCAATTTATATATGCTGAAGTGGTAACATGAAGGTTGTCCTAAGATGCTTTTAAGTTAATTTGGTAATGTGGGAGTTGCTAAAGCATTTGTTCTGCTAGATGCATGAGTTGAGGACTTATTAGTGTGGGAGGCTGTACTTTGTCTCTGCAGAGGAAGAACTCTACAGAGCTTATCCTAGTTAATGTATCTCGGGATATGAAACATTATAAATATTGATATCTAAAGGAGGCAATTTATGGTTCCCCTTGCCAAGGATTTGCCCTACTTGTTTATCCAGGCATAGGATGAAGTCCATTTTCTGTGTCAGTATGATAGGCCTAAGATCTAGCAGGTCAGACTGATATATGGTCCCTCAAATGGATCTTCCTTTGTACAATTTGTACTCAGTCCCAAAGTCCAAGAAGTTATGTCAGAAAAAGCAGATAAAACAGCTGTACCTGTAGAGTTAGGTGTGTGAGACACAAACTCTGAAACAAGAGAGGCAAACTCAGTATTTTAGATGAAATACAAGTGGAAATAATGTGAATACAAGGGTAGGACTGCAATCCTAGGACACGAGAGTATGAACTGAAGGAAAGGTGAAAAGTCTGTTCACCTGTCCTGGCTTAGTGTTGATGTGCAACGTGACATCCAGCTGCGAAAAGTAGAAGGACCTGTGGTGGAGACAGTTTTTACTTGGTCTTGCCTTCTGTAGTGCTTAGGGCACAGGTCTAATCTTGTAACTCCACATTACTGAATCTGGCTTTAGTCACCAAGAACAGTGTGTTCTCACAAGAACTTCAGGCTTCTTAGTGGGACTTAGAGAACAAACATGCTGGCTGTTTAGCAGCATCCTTGCATCCAGATGACTAATGCTATTTCAGTATCAAGCTGCTGTAGATTGTCGGTCTTGATAAATTGAAACTCTCAAAGCACTGAAGGGTGACACTGTTTCTGTTGTAGCGGACTCGTGATGTTTGTTTTAGAAACAACTGAAGTACTCATGTCGATTGAAGAAAGAATGGTAAGTTGCTGAAATCAACTACTTACTGGGGTGCATCTGAAGGAAAGGATTTTTCTTTCATACAGCTATTGTATCTGATCATCTCTCATTCACTCTCTCTCTTCGTTTAGAACTCTGGAAGGAAGAGCAACTTCAAAGAAAGTTACTAGCTTAAAAACTGTATTGAATGGTATTATCTGTTACAACAGAGATTTATTTATTGTATGACCTCAATGTTTTCTTCTAAAAAAACTGAACCCTAAACTATAATAATACCATTTTCTTTCTGAAATTGTCCTTGCTGTAATTTACAAATCTAAACATTTTTTAGTCAAAAACCTGCAGTTGAACAAAAAGCTTCATAAAGAATGTCTGTGTGGAACTTACAAGATGACTGTGCAGCAGAAAATATCAACACCAACAATTAAAGTAAATGGGTGTTCCCGAAGGTGCAACGGAATGTTCCTGACTAAAAGATATCTTTAATCTCTTTCTGAGATGGAATTTTGCAATGCAGCTGAGGGCCAACTGATTGTAAAAGGCTTATTATGAGGCTGAGACATTGTTGGGTCTGGATACTCTTTGAATGGCATCTCGATGTCAGCCTAGCCTCGTGCTGATTTTGCTTTCTTTCTCATTCTTAGGGAATAGCTAAGTGACACACATTCTTCTTCCTGTTGGTGAGGTAAATTGTAAGCATCCCTCTAAATTTTCGGATTCACCTGCTAGAGTGACCTGTCCCAGCTGCGGCAATGCAAAGTTTCTTTCATGCAATTAATGGGACAATTATATTAGAATGATGAGATCATGCCTTTTGCTGAAAAGAATAGAGATCTTTCATGAACAAAGAGAGCTTTATTTACATCTTTACAAATAAAGCACCATTTTATTCAGTGAAAGTGGGTGACTGCTACTATTTGGGTAGGCACAGCATGGCATGAAGGTGAACTCACTCTGTAGAGTGGTAGGTAGAACTTTGGGTGGCTGTCTTGGAAAAAAATTAAAAATGTTTTGGGCTTTTTTCCCTGCTTGCACTGACTAGTAGACTAGTGTGCAGGCACTTCTGGTATTGCCTAAGAAAACTGAAGACTGTTGAAAGTAATTTCATTTGTTTGCTAAATAAATGTAGAAAACCTATCTTGGTCTTTTCCAGTGTATCAAGACTTTTCATGTAGGTAGATAGTGTGCATGTAAATCAAAGTGTAGTGGTGAACAGTTCTGTACTCTGGGGGAACTACTGAGACTTAGTCTGATAAGTTATGAGCCATATCTAAACAGAAACAAGTATTTTCATTTTTGATTCTTCAGGCTTATCTGTTTGTACCAGAGAAACCTCAATGACATTGCTAAGAAAAATACACAAGACTGAGATATTTTTACAATTCTTTCTTTAAGCTGCAAAGCATATTTTTTCTTTCAAAAAGTCATTCGGTGAATACTAATTTTAGTCTGACTTTTGACACTGTTCTAAATGACATCTGGATTTCATATAAATTCATATGTCTAGTACAAAGCTGAGACTGCCCACTGACAAATAAATTCCTATGCTCATGTAATTCTCTTTTAAGAACAGACAAATCACAGCTATACTGACTTGAAAGTGGGTTTGGTTTTATTTCTGGTAGCAGATGTGATTCTGAGGCTTCTTTAAATGATCTCAGCATCTAGCCCGTGCCTGGATCATTGCAGTTAACTACCAAGTAGAGCCTATGCTGGTTCATAGGAGGACTTGTGGATGGTGAGAAGTCTCCTTGATATTGCTCCAACCTTCACTGTATCGGCGAGCGGTCTGTGAAACCAGAGAGGCCCAGTAGGTGAGAGGGTCGCTTGGAGCCTCTTCCAGAAGCAGCTGGGCAGCCTCTGGCTGCATTCCCCGTGCAACTGTTCAGACGGTCCAAGCGCTGACGTTCCCTGCCAAAATCTCCCTGCTGCTGTTGGGCTGCGGTGCCAGGAATGGGGTTGAACAAAACAATATCTTCTGTGCTCTGCTGCCTTGCCCCCAGCAGAAGGGCAGATTTTTGTAGGGAGAAAGGGCTTGGAGATAACATTGTGCCTGTTTCCCTGGGGGGTTCTGAGGTCTCTGTGTGACCTTGCTGCATGGGGTGTAATTCAGGTTTTGATGTTGGTCATCTCTCATGCTTTCAGAGTAACAAATGGAGTAAGCAGAGAAATAAATAAATAGCATTGTAAAAGCAAAGATTAAAGAAAAATAAACATGAAGCAGACAGTTCTAAAACCTGAGAGCAGGAAGAAGCTTTATTGTCTTAGAGCTGTCCAGTTTTGAAGTTTGGGATAGTTATGTGCTAAAAGGCTGTGAACGGTATAGCTACAAATAAACCATAAACAGGTTTTTATTTGCCCATGTACGCACAATGGTGAAAAGTGTCAAGTTTGAAGAACAACGACATCATTTCACGCATTTTCACCTTGCCAGAAAGACAGAGCTTGAAGAAGTGGAATTTTTTGAAAAAAACGTAACTTAGATTGGCATAAGCTACAGGTGCACCTGTATTTTATCAAAATGTTGCCAGACTGTCTGACATAATTTAAGTGTGTGTATGTTGAGAGTATACATACACGAATAACCTGCTCAGTCTCTGACTCCTTATTTTAAGTAAATTACTCCAAGTCAGCTGTTTTGCATTAACTGCCTGCTTGCAAATTGTTATTGTCAGGTCAATATGAGCTAATTCCAAGCCATTTATTTTCTTGGTTAAGGACCAACTTTTGCATGCATTGCTGGGGCAGAGTATACATTTTATAGAAAATAACTGAAGATTAACTGACTTATAGTATGTTTGACATCCTTGCTTGACTTGTGACAATTTGATCATGAATTCCTACTGCTGGAGTGTGACATAGTGAATATGATACTTAACAACAGAAAGATGTTAATCTCCACAAGTGGGGCAGAGTTTCTACCAAGGGGAACTTCTTTCCATATGTATTGCTGATTCATCCTTTGAACAGCCTCTATTCTATGCAACAAAGTGAAAACTACTCTAGAAATGGTAACATGTAATAATAGGAAATAAGCAAAAATAGAAGTTAATGACACAGTGTAAATTGACTCATATTTCTGCAAATGTTGGTATTATATCAGAAAAACTTCCAAAGTGGCATTACTCTACAACAGGAGTTTTTCAATGCTAGGATTGCAATCTGTCCTTTCACTTAACATTTAAAAAAACTCCAAAACTTTAGTATACAGCATCTCTACTTACTGTGTAAATAGTTTCCTAACCTGGGAAAGATACTTCCATTTTCACTTGTGAAAGTCTGTATAGTCTGTAGCATTTCTAATCTGTTGCAGAAGACTGTTCTTGAATATAGTGCTTTCCCACTCCTTAGATTTGAGTGAGAAATACACAGGTGGTTTTTGTACATCTCATTATGTTAAACTTCTGCATCGGGGTATCATTTTTACAACATGACAGGGCACATCTCAGTACTTTAACACTCACTAGAGGGATATGTGTATGACCTGTTAGGCTGGTACATATAAAGATAAAATTGAGCTTTGAAGTTAAAATTTTGAGATGTAGAAAAATTTTTTTTTGCACAAGTTTTTAATACATTTTTCTAGTAGTGTCTTGTTTAAAGTGGTTCAGCTGACAGTGAAGAGCGCTGAAGATGCCAACGAAAGGGGTCGTCAGTGTGTTAAAGGAAAAATGTAAAAATTTATAGTTTTTATGTACTTTGCACTTTTGCAACTTGTTATATGATGCTAAACTAACTGGAGAAGAGCCTTTTTAATAGCTTTTTTTTTTCTATTGGCCTCCGTTCTTGGTGTTTGTATGGTATGTTAACATCTGTGGGTAGCTTGCTAATAAATGAATGGCCAAGGAAGTATCTGAGAGAAGACACAGCAAGTTATTGGAGGAATTCCTGTTAATGCAATCATACAGATATCTGAGCATTAGAGAACAGTTTGCCTTTTTGCAAGTTGTTCATGATCTAGTGGTTGAAGTTTGAATGCAGGAATGAATTCTGCCACTCAGCCTTCTCTGTAGTTGTTTCCTTGTCTACAGAATAGGAATAATGCTTGTGTATGCTTGGGTTGGTGAGATCAAACTGGTTAGTGACAACAAAATGCTTTGAGAGGCTTTAATGAAGGGCATTAAACAACTGCATGCTATGAAGATTTTCAATATTAAAAATATATTACAGGTGACATGCAAAAGTAGTGGGGAATATAAAAAAAAGTCACTGGGTTTCATTTAACAATAAAGAGACAGTTCCTAAAATCCCTTTGGGGAGGAGTAAGCTAGAAGGGAATAACATAACAGTCTTAGTTGCAATATTTCTGTAAGCAGTTGAAAAAACATTTTTTCCAGACATGAAAAAATGCATTTGCTCAGAGCAGCAGATGAAGCAAAACAGGCATACGGTCAGCAGCAGGTTCCACTTGTTCTGATTCCGGACAATATGGATATTGGATTCAGTGGTCATTGTTAGCCCGCAGTGCCGGAAGGTGATGTAGAGTTGCTTCTTAGGCACGAAAACCACTCAGCTACTATACTATTTGACAATATATGCAATTTGAATAGTGTTATTAGTCCAACCTATTTGCTTTAATTTTGTCTTCTGTGATGGTAAAGCCTTCATGTTTTTCAATACTGCATTAATGCAAAGGCTTTAATTTAAAAGAAGTCCAAAAGCAGAGAGGGGGAACAAAAGGAGAAAGAGAAAATGAGGAGTTGTAGTAAGTGGACACTGGGAACTTCTCAGAGCTCTGCAGCTTTATCCTTGGGGAGAGTTGAAGGGCAGAACTAAAAGAAATTTATTGCAGTGTAGAGTTCTTAAAATGAAGACAGCCATATTTTAAAGTTTAAGCACTGACCAGGTGCCTCTGTACTGTACTAGGGAAACAACGAAGATGGTCCTTATCACAAAATATGAGGGACTTTTTTAAGTGTTTAAATAGAAAACCAGAAATATTCTGAGAAGCCTTGAAGAAGAAGACTAGAGTGGCTTTTAAACACATGTGGATGTGTCAAGTTATTGGGAAGGATTTGAAAACTAGGAATATGGGCAGCTGAATAGGAATTATTATATTAGTGAACATAAAACCAGAAGGTTATAGATTGCAATACTGATTTTACTATTATAGCTAAGCATAAGATGATGATGCTTTTTTTGATTGTCAGTTCTACTATGCATCCTTCTCATGCGATTCCCCTCTTTTCATGTAAGACTGTCCAAAGTTTCGGAGTTTTTGCGCCGTGACTTCATTTGATGTACTAGATGGGCACCACATTCTTTATTAAATACTTCTTCTATGGGTTTTCTGTGTGTGTGTACAACAAGTCTGATTGTGCTTCTACTGAAGTCAGTGGGATTTCTGATGTGGACCTGAAAAGAGAATCTTGTCCAGCAATATTTGTCAATTCTTTAATTTAAAAGTGCTTTGCAAGCTAATTGCTCCCCTCACAACTAACATAAACCAGTGCAGTATGACTGGTAGCTAAGAAAGTAATTCCGGATGTGTTTTTGGAGAAAAAGAGGGGTTTGGTAGTACATTAAATCTAAAATTGTAGAATAAGAAGCAGTGAATAGCTTCTTTGTGGTCCAGTAGACAGAATGCTGTAGAATAAACCAGGAGAATTTGGATGAGTTCCCAATTATGCCTGTTCTCATAGTACATTCTTAAGGCAAAT